AGTTCACCCCAAAAGGAAAATTAACTCATTATCTACTGACCACTATAATGGAGGGGTGGGTGAAGCGTTTGAGTCCACAAAACACTTCTGGAGTCTCAACAGAAAACAGCCAAATCCAATACAATTGAATGGTGACCAATTCTTCAAACAGAAAATCAACAGAAAAAACATGAAATGCCTCCATACTGGTCCTGTTGTGTCATCCAAGTGTTAGTAAGCCCCGACATTCTACTTGAAACAGTGTCATTTACACCATGTTTTAAAGCCTAAATGTCCGCTATCCGGAGGATAACAGCAGACTAAGAACATGAACTATCCCTTTAAGCTAAGTAGCTTTTAGCTTCTAGCATTATCAGTTGACAGTCATATGTACCTGCAGGGTTCATTTCAAATTATTATAACTTATAACAAGGTGGAGTTTTATAAGAAGAAGAAAAGTGGAGTCATCTAGAGATTTTGGCCCAAAATGATGTGAACATTTGTATGTTTTAAATCAGTCATTTCATCTTAAATTGGCACTAAAGTGATTTATCACTGCACTTTCATAAAGTTAAAAACTTTGCAAGAAACAAAATGAAATGTGAGATGTAAAATTAAAGCAGCAGTGACAGAGATATCCTGAGTGGAGTCCTTTGGCTCCAAAAACACTGGATCCTGCAGTTTCCGTAATCACATAAGAAATGTAAATTGGTGAAGGGCATGGAATCAGAAGAGTTGAATTGATTCCTGATTGGACTTCAGTCTTTTATGTTGTGTTTTAATTATTTAATTATTACAAAAATAATAATAATTGGTTTTAATGATCACTTTACTGTCTTGCTATGTTGTTGCATTTTACTTCCATCGCTTAAAAGCTGCAGCTCAGTGTTGTTTATGCTGTGTCAGGATGAGTGGTTGTTTTGTGCCATAAACTGCTGCGCAACAATGGAAAACACGTGCAGGTGCTTATGCTTGTGCAGCCACAGGACCTCTACTGCCACCATCTGTTCAGCAAACAGACCTGCAGTCAGTTGTATGATTGAAAATCAATGTATGTAAATTGGGGAAATGACTGGAAGACTCTTAAAAGAAAATCACCTACATTTAACCTGTCTCATCATTGTTTATTAAGATTTTTCTGCCCCTCTCTTTATGAATATTATTGCAACTGACCATATAAAAAGCGCTGGAGTAAGACTTTGAAGGGGAGTGGTTTCACTGGGATTGAGCTGTGTTGTAAACCTCAGTGAGTTATCGTCATATTGTTTCAGCATGGGTGTTGTCTGTTTTATAGGAAAACACTTATGACATTTTACAGGAGCATAAGATCGTTTATTGGAGGCCACAGTTTAATGTGCTTAGCCTTGGTGTGAATTCTAAACAGTAAATACCTTCTGGTGTCACGTGAAACCGAGACAAAGAGTAAACTTGACAGCAGACTTTGCTTCTGGCAGCCTGTTTCAGTAACTTAGTTTCTCATTAATGCCTGTGTCAGGCATCCCTCACTGCATGTGGTTGAATAATTCACTCAATTGCAAGCATCACTTTCAGGGCCGAATAGATGATTAACCCTCAATATACAGTATATCCAGGATAGGAGAAATCTTCAGTTTGTCTAATTATAGGTTTTCACCACTTTGCCTGCTGGGACATGTTTGTAAAAACAGAGAACTGTGCAGAGAGTGAACATAATGAGCTTACCAGAGTCTACCATGTATGCCAGATCAGGCTTTTGCCCTTCAAGGAATGCAATTATACCATGCTTATCTTAACTATTGACTTAACTATTGGTCACAGGGCTGTTTGATGTACCTGGCATTCTTCTTTTCATGCCACAAAAAAAGGTAAAATATGTTCAACCTAACATAAAGGTGCTGGTCATACTGAATGTCAAGGGAACAGACTGTACTGCACTGAATACAGTGCGGACGCAGACTGAGCTGCTGTGTTTTTCTCTGTCAGGTCTGCCTCTCTATCTGGCTTCTTGGAAGCTTGAACAAACAGTGGCACTTTGGCTGCAGCAGCTCCCACTGTACAGTTTCCATGGTGTGAGCTGAGGGCGAGCTGCCCCTCTGACAGCCATTTTTTCATTTCTTTTTTTATGTTGAGGTAAAACGGGTCAGTTCAGGTGTGTCCTGGCTTAACTATTAAACCAAGGCTCTATCCAGTGAAGTTCCTCTGCTCACCTCCTCAAACCACTCCACACTGGGACTTTACCTGCAGCATTTTACCGTTTGGCTTCTCATTTTCTGCAGAAATGTTGGAAAAGACCTTTTTCCTGCTCTGGTTTTCATCTGCTCTGGGTAAACAACTCTGTATACCTGGTAAGTGATCACAGAGGGACACTTTCCTATTTTTCCCTATATTAAAATGTTGTATTTTTATGTCTTTATCCCACATTGAATATTAGCAAATACAGACATTGTTGCTGTAAAAGCATCAGTCTACTTGTATTTCTGCAGTCAGTGTGGAATGCAGTTTGTAATCTCTTAACTGGAACAAAGATTGGACACATAACTCAAATGTTTACCTAACAATAGCTTTCATTGGACATCATTGAAATACATTCTCTATGACAGACTTTTCTAAAAACATATAAAGAAATCACTGCTGAGGCTTAGATGACGTGATGGTAAACAGTTCCTTTGGATACACATATGGCAGCTCTATCAGGAAAACATAGACATATCGAAGCGTTACCCTTTTATTTAATTATATAAAGACATAAATTGATAGGACGTAGAGGATCATTTACATATTCTTTATCTTTATAGATGCTTCAGACGGTTACAAAGTTCGACTCAGCATCAACACTGCTCTGGGAGAGGAAGCTGTACGTATATTTTTAGATTTTCATCTCATAAATATCAGTTTGAAGGCTCACTAGATTAAAGGCTACTTCAAGGTATTGCCCTCATGAAAAGTACACTAAATATTATCCAGATTTCACTACTGATTTGAGGAAGACCCATCACCGTAATGTTGTTTACTGAAACCATGATCCATTGTTGCAGTATCCCTGGACTCAAAGTGAGATGTTCCTTTTTCGAGCCACTTTGGCCTTTGCCATGAGGAATCACATCAGTGGACAGGAATTCGAGTAAGTCAACATTTGTGTGCTTTCTTTTGCAGTTTGATTACAAAAAATATAAAAACCTTTTAACCATAGTATAATCGCTTTTCAACATAATGAAATCAGTGACTCACAGTTCATCACCATGTTTTGGACACTGACAAGCTTTTTATTGTCTTGTGGAACTTCACCAGAGTGTCGAACATTGTTGTGTGTGATGAGACTCCCAGAGTGTCCTTCTGGTTTGTGGTTACCTCACCACTGAACACTTCGGAACTTGTTGATAAAGAAAATGTGGAGGCGGCCGTCAGGTAATCACATGACACAGTGATACTGTCATTGTTTCAAACCCCTGTTTAAAATTGTTTGCTTTTTCTTACCCTCTTTATAGAGAAGTCAGATATCATATTAAACTCTAAGTCAGTTGTTCCATTTAATGTTTAGTTTTGGTGTAATATATTTATTTTTGGTGCAATAGTGATGTTGTCTTAATAGATGGGGGATTTTATCTCTATCGGTATAATATGTACTAAAAGTGTAACCATTTATTGAGTATTCATTTTTCCCCAATTTCTTTTGTTGGCAGTGACAAGATGATAACTAATCATTTTCAAAATAAATAGTAAATAATCTCTCACAAATGCAATTTCTTGAGCTGGTTGTGACCCAGAACAGATGAACATTTAAGTGGCTTGTGTAATATTAAAATAATAACATAAAATCATGCAAACCAGGTGGGATGTTAACAGCAAAATTAAAACAATCTAATGAACTAAGAGAGGACCTTTTAAAATGAATCTGTTATTTTATTGACATCAGATAAAATTAGCCGCCAGTACCTCACACCAGGCAACGTTAGCTGCAAACTATACTGAACCAGGCAAAGGTACATTGTTTTAGTGTGTTTTAAATATAATATGAGTGTGTTGTTTTGCTAACAGAAGGTACAAGTTACTACAATTTGCTTATAGCAGGACAGATTAAGATTTAGTTCAGCATAAAACACTGACATAAGCAAGGATGTGTTGCGTATGAATCATATACTTGTAATTTTAATGAAGAAGATTGTGTGTTATGTGTTGTTGAATGTGTTGTTTTGTTGATAATGCTATCGTGTGTAAATATGTTGGTTTGCCAACATTTCAATGTCAATACTTTGATAACAACAGTAGAAAGTGGATGCATGTACATTTTGATTTAAAAGGACACGAGGGGTTTTATGAACTAGCACAGGTGCCATATATTTATATTGTACTGTGTTTCTCAAACACAGGTGGAATGGAGGTGGGGCTCAGGTTTTATTGTCTTATCTGTAATTGACGTTGAAAAAACCTTCAGCAAAACTTGGTGCACTTCCTGAATGTTAATCAGAAGTGTTTCTTGCTGACTGTTTATGTCCATTTTTATATCTAAACTCTTCCTGTGCTCATTAGACAGTCCAGGAATCGGATCAACAATGCCTTCCTGCTATCTGACAACACTCTGGAGTTTGTGGGCATCACTCCCACCCTAGCAGCACCCGTCAACCCTGACACCCCCCCATGGCTCATTGTGTTTGGGGTGGTCATGGGTGCCGTGGGTGCCGGCATCATCGTTGTGCTTGTGTCCTCTGTGGTCCAAAAGAAACGGTAGGCTGACATCTTCACATGCATTTTTTGTCTTTTTTCTTTTTATACATGGGATTTTTGATCAGTTGTGTTTCTGCCCTTTAATTTTAGCAAAAAGAGCGGGAAGACAGAAGACGAGGACATCGAAGAGGAGATACAGGCAAAAACAATGGAAAATGGTGCTGCAAGGGATGGTGTTTACAACTTGTCTTTCACAGATGATGAGCGATTCACACAGATGTAAAGTGCTTGGGTATAGAAAGTCTTCCATGTAAGCAATAAGAGGGGAAATGTTATCAAGCTGCTTTATGTGGATTATCAATAGATGCTTGCAGTTTGTGATCATAGTTATTGATAAGTTTCTAATGCACATGATTCATACTTTTTTAAAATTTCCTTTTTAAGGGCTCTATTGATGGTTATTTCTGCACTGTCAGAAAACAGAAACATGCACTATGCTTTCATTTTCCAAATGAATGTGTAAATGATTGATACATGTATTTTGTAAATATTTTGCATTAGCCTATGTCTGAGAACATTCTACACAACTAATCATTTACTGAACTGGACATTTATTGATTTGTTTAGCAAATAACTTTTCAGACAAAAACTCCTTTATAGCTCAACGGCCAAGCAATTGTACGACTGAGATGTATGGCACAAACAAAAATCTTGCCGTATGCAAAATTCCAGGGTTCAGATAAACATATCTAAATGTTTATCTCCTTAAGTGGGAAGGCTGTTGACTAGTTCTGTACTATATCTAACTTGCAAAATGTGACTGAATCAAATGACAGCCCAGAGGACATGTCAGTAAATCCTTCTGCTGTCTGTTTGTTTGCCATCAGACTCTTTCTTTTCCCAGATTACACAGTGACAGAGAAAATCCCTATAAACTCAGTGATGGGCTTAGCTGCAGCATTCGAGGCAGCGTTGGAGCTCTTTATCGTGATGGTTAGCAGAAGTGTTGCTCAACACAATTTACATATGGTTGTGACAGAACAGGGCAGCATCCTTTGAACGCACAGATTTGTGTAATCAATGCATAATTCAAAATAAAAGTCCTGCATTGGGCCACTATATGTGACAACCTTTCTAGGTCTAACTATGGAATGAGAAAAAGTTCCTGGCACTCCCAAAATAGTTAAATAAAATAAAAATAATTAGAGCACCCTCCCTTCAGCAAGTACAAAGATAACCTTCCTGCTTTATTGTCATAGTGTCCCTTCACTTCTCCTCTAAAGAAAGACGTGTTCATAAGTATGAGCCATAAACTCTTAGGGAATCTCCTGTGGCAGCAACAATCTTTACAAACAACTTGTTTTCATGATTTTATAATAGCTATGGTCTTTTATCGAAAACTGAATTTCCATTTCCTGTGTAATTACATATATTTTGAAAATGTTCCAGCTGCTGTGCTGTGATCATTAAAAACCCTACACAGATACAGTGCATATATTGACCATAAGGTGGCACTATTGCACTGCCAACTTGCCTGATCACACACTGTTGTCTCCCTATCTCCCTGTCCTCTTGTTGGCACTATGTTTTTGCGTGTGAACATTTGAATTTCAAACATATTGTAATTCACTCTTATTTTATTTTTGTCGAACTCTCTGAAGTGATAACAGTGTGTGAGTCCTTCACATTCCACAGTCTATATTTAGGTCATTGTTAAACAATTGTCTGATCCTGGTGTGTCTTCTCTAACATTTTGTGCTTTGATATTTCTGCAGTAGTTTGTGTTACGCTGGAGGACATCCACAATATCCTGACAAATTGCAGCGCGGTCAGGATTAGTTATCATTTGGCTCTTCATGTAATATTCCACTCCTCTTTCCTCTGCATTCTTTCTCTTGCCCGAGGAGTCCGGGCTTTTACAACTCATCTTTCTTGTCACGGAGCCAAAGATTTTCTGTCAAATTTAGCTTGTAAGCATTGCAATCTTAAAAGGCAGCTGATTAAGACCTAAATTCCCGCTGTAGAGGAGAACAGAGCACGGGAAATAATTGCAGAAAGTCAAAATCATTTAATCATATTATTAAAAAATAATGTAATTATTTTTAATGACTCCTTCTTATATCTTCTGAATAATAAATGTGTTTTGAAATAGTGATAGAAATGAGTCAACTGACAGATTGCCTGAATAACCTAACACAATCTAAAAGTAAATGATTGTTTTGCTGTTGCCTGTGTTTTTCTAGGCTAGAAAAAAAAATACCAATGCTTGTGTGCACAGCTTCTCATAATTGCTTTTTCCTAAGTCTGTGTTTTCATAAGGTGGAAGATAAGTAAACCTTTGGAGTTAATTGTAGATGGGCAAACACATATAATATTGTGTGGGTGAAATTATTGGGGACATTATAAATTGTAATCTTTAGCCTACAAACTGGACCCTTCATTTCCTGCATGTGCATTTGACTAAATAACCCTCTCCCAAAAAAGAATTGTCCACTCTTGAGCAATAACCACTGAACTCCAGGTCTGATGTATATCTACATATAGACATTATTTACTGACCGTTCACAACAGTGCACAAGTCTTCAACAGTGACAATCTAATCATTTCTGTTTGCAAATTGCATAGTGAGCAGATTCTGCTACAGTAATGGTGCGTACTCGCTGGAGTCGTACTCTCGCTACAGAGCTCCAGTACATAAACTTAGACAGTGAGGTTCCCTGGAGAGTCTCCGTGAACACGTGGCGGAGTCGACCCACAGAGCTGAGCGCCTGTGTGGTTTTAACACTCCCCAATTCAAATGCAAATGTCCCATTCAGATTCCAAAGATGCACCATGAGTGTGTCCCTATTAAACTATCAATATTACATATCACAATTCCATTCCATTTTTAATGAGGCCTATTTTCTAACAATGCAGCTTTCAGGGCTCGGAATCAATATTTAAAAAAAGGTAAATTTTTCATAACTTTCACTTTGAAAGCCCAAGTGCATTATTAATATCAGTTACACAAGTGTGAAAAGTGACACATTCGATATGCATTTTCTAAACATAGTGGCGGTGAAAACTATACGCTGTGCACTGATTCCATCGCGACTCCTCGCCATACTGTCAGCCTCATGGATTTTTCCAGGCAGGGAGGACAAACAAGAGGATTCCTGTCAGAGGATGTGTATTCTGCCCCTCCTGCTGTGTTTAAAATCTATCACTGCCAACAGAGCGCTCCTCTTTCAAACTTTTCCTTTTTTGCAGACTAGAAATCCCATCTTTGTATTTCTTTTTTTTGGTCCTCTGTTTGTTTATGAGTCTCACTCGGAGCGGCCTCTGCAGTCTCAGCTTCCTCAGCCGCCAGCGTCTCTCCTCTCTCTGCCTCCTTTTCCTTCTCCCTCTCTTGGATGATCTCGACCAGCCTCCGAAACTTCTGGTTCAACTCCTCCATCCCTCCCACCACTCGCCCATCGTCCTTTTCCTTGTCGCTCTCCAGCGAGCTCAGTGACTCAGCTCTTGAATCACGGCCCTCGAACTCATAAGTCTGCAGTGAGTCATATGGAGGCTGTGACAGGTCAAAGGTGACCTGATCCAGGCGGAAGTTCAGGAGATCTTCCATACGTAGAGGCTGTGGGTTGGAGGCTTCAGCCATCGACGGCTCCGCCCTTAATGGCCAGCCTCTGTTGTTGCCAAACACACCCCCAGGTAAGGGCAAAGGTTGCGGGGTCAAATCCTTTCTCTGGAGACTGCACATGTTCAGTAGCTGCACCCCCGCTGGGTACAACCCGCCGCCGCTCGTCCCATTCATACATGTCCCTCTGCTGTTCGGATTGAGAGAGCCCACGATGCTGTACGTGTCTGATTTCAGGTAAACAGGAGGGTTCACAGAGTTAATCTGACTACCGTTTGAATAATTTCTCTCTGAGACCGAGGGAATGGAGCAATCAGTATCAATGTCATCTATAGTGCAGCTGGTGGCTCCTGTGCTGATCTGAGTCTGCGATGACCCCGGCCGCCCCTCATGCTGGTTTGATGAGGAGCTGGCGTGACTTTGGAGAGAAGACTCATTTGGGTCAGAGTAGGTCAGATTTGCAGCGTCGTCGGCTGGTGCCGGCGCTGCTTCAGTTGGGTTTGTCTGTTACAGAAAAGGAGAAAGGAGAGATTAGATAATTCAAAAAGACAAGCAGGGAAAAATACTGTATATGGAAGCAACACAAAGCCCACAAATATATAACATATTCTTATAAACAAGAAATAATAAAAGTTTATCACCCCTGCATCTTGTGATGCTAAAATTTCAACACCACTCAAGTGACTGCATTGGAATTTTTTTTTCTTTCTTAATTTATGTGGTTTGAATTAGATCATTTGAAGTTTTGCTATTGTACAGAAAACCTTTTTTTTGGAGGAGTTGACACATTGATATTTATAATTCAAATGCTTGAGGTTTTCCAGGCGCTCATGTGAATTTCTCTTTCTTGGATCATGTGAAACTAATGTGTTTGGACAGATTGGATTTCCTCGGTCGACTGGATGTTTAGGCTTGAATCTTTCATCTTGGATTTTGGTGTCTTTTTAAATTATATTTTAATTCTATTTAGAAATAAAATATGTATACAAAAACACAAGCAAGAGACCACACCATGGCTGCATGCATGTCAGCAGACCCTGCTGGACGTTCTCCAGAGTTCAGTGAATGTCTGAGAGCAGCATAAGTTTGACCAGACATCTTTTTCCTACCTAACAAACATTTGTTCCATTAAACTCTGTGGTGAAGTACCACAATGTGAATAAGGTTTGGCCATATTACCTCCACCAAGGAGGTTACGACTTCCATGAGATTCTGTGGAGGGGTGGGGCATAACCCAAGCAAGAACACATTCAATTTTGGTTTGGCTCTGGATCAGGGTCAGATCCAGGATTTTTTTTTCTCTTTCTTTAACATTGTGTGATGCGGTGTTTGTATATTTTCAGTAATCTCTAAGAGAATAATTGATGGATCTTGATGAAAACAGACATGATATTTATAAGTGTGTGCAATTTGGTGCAGATCCAAATAAAAACCTGGATCTAGTGAATTGGAATATTTGACACTTGAGCTTTCTATCTACCTTTGTGACATAGCACACATAAAATCAATACTTAAATAGATGAATTCAAGCTTGGTGAATATAAGACTATTCAATGTTTTGAATTCTGTGGTGTTTAAATTTTAACAAAGTGTTCTACAGGGATTCCAATTCACCGTTATCTGCTCATAAGATAAGATAAGATGATAACAGCTATTCTTTGTTTTCTGACCTTGGCCTGATCAGGATTCTTTTTTGTATCTGCTCCTTCATTCGCTTCACTGCCTTCATTTCTGTCTGTAATATTGCTCTTCGCCAGCATGTGTTCTGCTTCATAACCAGCAGGGCTCGTCTCAAAAGAGTGCAGCAGAGGCTCAAAGGTGCTCTGGTTCTGGATGACGAGGGAATTGCCAATATGACCTCCGGTGAGCCCGTGGGTCAGCTGCGTTAACTGCAGACCTGCCTCCAGCGGCCCGGCTGGATAATCTCGGAGAACAGGCAGCGTGTGGATGCCGTAGCAGAGGCGTCCGTAGAGCGGAGCAGAGCCCGGCCTCTGCTGAGGGTCCAGGCCGGGGCGCGGGTTACGGCTCCAGCTGTACGTCCTGGCCCTCGGCGGATTCTGCTGGGTGTACCATCTGTGCCAAGAGATAAATGTCAGAGAAGCACACAGTCACACACAAACACACACACTCTCCCATAAGACACTGTGGCAAGGATAAACTTTGTCTTTTTTTTCTTAATTTTTGGGCACAGCTCACATGTTTCTGTTGTGCATGTGCTGCATTCTGTGCATGCTCTGCAGTGCTGTAATGTCAAAAGCTGCGGTGTCCGCTTCCCCTCCCCCCTCGTCATCATAGGATATGATGTTCTCCCTGACATCATCCTCCTCGAAGGGTGAGTGGGAGTCTCGCTTCTGATGGCGCAATGACAGTGAGAGTGCACACACCACTAAAGGGCAAAACAGAGACACATGACCACATACGCTTTAGAAATTACAGGAGCGACCTGACACAACTGCTCAGCGTCGTTCAGAAAGTCACAAACAACATATTTCTAGTACTTGGAAGCCTCCACAGAACCTACCCAGCAGAGTGGTGACGCAAGCCAGCATGGCGAGCAAGGTGACCAAACTGAATATGAGAGACGGAGAGGCGGACGGCATGGGCAGACAAACCAGGTGTCTCTCCCATCGTCTGTCCCTCTGTCTCCCCCTATCCTCGGTTTGCATGCCCCCTCGCAGACAGGGACAAATGGTCACAGTGACCGTGGCAGTGTTGGTCAGACCCGAGGCCCCGTCGCGTAGCACGACCGGCACGTAGAGGGTGAGTAAGGATGAGGAGAAGCCAGGGAGGGGATCCAAAGCTGACTGGAGCACCAGGCTGGCTGTCACACCTGATAACGTGGCAGAAAACACACACATTGAACATGGTCACTACACAAAAATCATGCCCCGATTTCTGTTGGTGGTGTGTATCACATGGAAAGAAACAGTTGCCACCTCCAGACTCCCTGATGGTGAGATTGAGCGCGGAGCTGGACTCTGGAGGGATGCTGAAGTGGATGGGTGTGTCCTGGCCTCCCTGGTCCCTGTCGATGGCTCGCAGAACCTGAACTACCTGCAGAACAGGATGCTCTATTATCATGGTTCATATGGGCATTTAAACATTAAACACAAAATTAAAGACTCTCAGTTTTGTGGTGGAACTGCTGACACATGCAACACGTGAAGAGAAATTGTTTAAATAAAGTTGGGATAAACACCTCTATTTGACTGAAGCAACAAACTTAGTTAAGGACCATTCGATTTTCATAAAATCCACCCCAGTTTCCTTTCCATAATTTTTATGGCTGGGATTTTTTCAGTAATAACCATTCAATGTAATTTTCATTCTATAATTACCTCTGTGATGGAGTCCACCACAGGGGATTTAGGGGAAACAATGAATCGTGTAATCCAGCGTTACTGTTTTTAATTTCACT